CGGGGGGGGAGGAGAGAAAAGAGAATGGGAGGGGGAGACTGTGTCTTTGGTGTATTTAATTTTAGAACTCCCTTTCCTAAGCAAAAATAGTGTATTATATATAGTGAGAAAAAGGCTTATTTTCTTGAGAGAAAAATTTAAGCCAAGTCCGTGGTTTTATGTTAATTTCTAAATTCAGGGCTGGATCATGATGTAGGGTAGATCAACATTTCATTTCTTCCAGCTGAGGATCTACAGTCAGTGGTTTGGGAGATTAAAAATTGGCTAAATATCACTGGACTGTAACTTAATAAAGGGCAGGCAGCAGCAAACTCTTTTTAGGGAGTTCACTGGAAGTATTTTATTTATACCTGGTTCGTCATCAGCTATGATCATTTCTACCCTAAGCTTTGGTGGTTATGAAATGGTCTTATTTCTGCTAGTGGCTCATTGCTGACTGAAAATCGCTGACCTGAGCTGGATGTGGAGTTTGAACCTGAATACAGAGAGGTGGGAGCCTTCTGAACTATATTTAGGCACCCTTCACTCTCTGCTTTTTTCATGTCACTGTGTTCAGAGTGGCTCACCAGTGCTTACAGTTCCTTGTTGTTCAAGCCTCACCAGGCTGTATGGCTAAGCGTTCAAAAACAGGAGGGAAAAGGCGACTTGAAATATTTTACAAAATAAAACAGGTTTGTCTGAGTCTTTCTGATCGGGCTCTTCTGGTCATATTTTTAACAATTTTCCTTGCTGAGACCATCACACTGATATGAGAGGGCTTGCCAAGGTCTCTAAATCCCTGCCATCTACTACTCTTCTCCCTGTCACCATTGTAATCCAATTTCCTCCTCTTCTGTTCCCACATTTCTTCCCATCTTTCTGATTTAGGGTGTTCATTGTGGCTGTCTATGCCTTCACATAATACAGAGCCATAGCATTGGGTAATAATAGTGCTATCTGTTTCTTCATATGCTGTTTCTTGTCTGTGGGTCTCAAAATGCTTTGTAAAAGACATTAGGCAGTGTGAAACTGAGACAGAGAGGTGATGCGAGGCCAACGCCAGAGAAGGACTGGAATCCTTTCCCCCTAGGTCTGAGGCTGCTGTTCTGCGAGGAAGTGAGGGTTGTATTTTCAGTGCTTGTTTAGCCATGGTTTTGCTGCTCAGTAAGGTAAAAAAACTTATCTTGTAGGCCCCAGCTCAAGATTTTCTCCTTGATCCAGCTGCCCTGCGCCAATAGGCAGTTCGTCTGACTCCAGAGATTCTCTCTCGAAGCTGCTTTTATGTGATAGGCACAGCACCAAAACTGCCCAGCAAATAACTTCACTTTCTTTTCAGGTATCATAAAAAAACCTGCCTTAGCTGAGCCTCTGAATCTTTCCTAACATGAGATCATCACAGCCACTTCATCTGATTTAGGTGTTTACAAAGCCCTCTGATGGGATTATTTGGCTCACAATGTATTGTTGTCTCTTGGAAGAGAAGTGCCCTAATAACACTAGCTTGTCCCTACCGAGCACTTAAAATAGCTTCTGGGTGCTGAATACGAGCCAGAGCATGCTTCTAAATACTCTTAGTATTTTCTAGAGAGTGTGTGCCAGGGCCTCGTGAGTATCTACGGCAGCTGTTCTTTGACCATTTTGTGTACTGGTTAAGATGCACCTGGCTATTTTAACCCACAACCTTTTTCTTGTTGCATATGCTTTCCCTGGAGCATATTAATACTTAATTTATTTTCCTGACACATCTTTAGCATTAGTAGCTGCATAAAAATAACTGCTGGATGTTGGGAGTCGGTGATGTTGCAAGGCTGCCATAGATCAGCTGTGTCAGAACCTATCCTGTGTCTACCAACTGCTCTGTGTTTACATCAGAAACAACCAGTGATTTGTTATTAAATTTAAGATGAAGCAGTGCATATGAGCTTACATCCTTCAAGCTTCTAGTCCACTGCAGCTTTCAAGAGATTGGCTTTGAATGGTGCATCTCTTCCACTTGAGTAAAATATAAATGTAACTCTTGCCTTTCATGTGAAGAGCTGTCTTTCCAGGGCTTCTGCCTTGTGAAGAAGTTTGGGAAGTTCTGTTCTTATTTATGCAGTGTCTGGATAATGGGATCCTGAGGGTATTTCTGCCCAGTACTGAACAATATACAAATACAAATGCTAGTTCCTGTGTTAAATAAGAGAGGAAGCTGCTCTCACCTGTAGATTATCCTCAGACATAACCAAAGACAGTTTCAGCCTCCACAGTACTGTTGCATTATTTTCAGTGTGTTGTTAACAGCTGTGTTTTTATTGCCAGATATGTCTATCGGTTTTTCATGTTTAAATGTAACTTTAGATGCTTGAATTTCCTCCCTTATGCTATATTAAAAAAAAAAAAACAAAACAAACCCAACAAACTATGATGGCCATAAGTTCTGAAGGATACAGAAAGCATGATCCAGTTCTCACTCATAATGTCTGTCAACCCGAAAGGGAGTTTTGTTTGTGTAGCGCAGGCCAGAACTATGTCCTAAAATTCATGTGACACTTGCAAATACTCTTACCTATAAAAATCCTTTTCTCACTTGTTACAAAAACTCAGTCAATGGTTCCATAGAAGTGTCAAAAACAAACAGACATTGAATTAATGAAGTGGCTGCTGCCATCTCAGCTGGACTCATCTCAGCTTGCAGATTCAGCTGCCAAGTGGCCTTAAAGTAAAAAGGAAGGTTTGATACACTGAACATATTATTCACCCTGAAATCAGCAGAATAACCGATGCTGAGGGAGAAGGTATGCCACCTTCTTCCATTCATTGTCTGTGAGCTAGTGCAAATCATTCCTGTCTTCCCCAGGTAGCCAGGCAGTCAACCTTAACTTATCCAATGAAAGGGCATAATCATTGTTCGCACTTTGAGTACTCCAAATATAGAGAATACCTGATGGCTGCGTTTCATTATGGCATTTATCTTCATGAGTGGGGAAAGAGGGATGACTCACAAGTGCCAAAGCCACTTATGAAGTATCCCATATTTTCCTCTGAGTGAAGATGAATAAGAGAGATCTACAGCAAATGATGTATCTTTGACTGAGCAGTGATAACCTCATCTCCCCTGTTGGCCTTGGGGAGAGAGACCGCCCCACGTGTGCCTGTGCAACCATTGAATTCCTTTCATATATTAGAATAAAATGGACTTAGCAGTGATTAGGTTCAGTAACACAAAGCAGCAAAATGCGTAGTTTCTTATCTGCTTGTTTTGCTGGAATGGACATAAATGATAAATTAAGATAACTGAGGTTCAAGTGACAAATGCACATTGTAGCTGAAAGGATTTGGTCAGCGATAGCCAAAGAAAGGAAATCTAATTTAATGAGCAGGAGAATCACAGGGAAAAGACCATCTTCACTGAGTGCAGAAAGTGATCCATTGTAAATTGGACAGATTTTTGTAATAGGTTTTATTTTTTTAGGTTTTGATTAAATTTATTTTTAATGGTTCTATAAAACAAAATTTTAAAGTTCTGTGATCATTTCTATAACATTTTCAGTTTCTTCCGCCCCCCCAAGAAATAGAAAATGCTAAGGGGTGCTTTAGAGGACAGAGAAAAAGAATGATATCTCTTATGAAAAAGGTTGCTTTTCAATTAGTTTCTTGTTTTTTGGTTTTTTTTTTAACAAGGACTGCTCATTTGCTGTAATTATATTGCAGCTTGATCAAGCTGGAGGGAGGGGTATGGGAGGAGTCGAATTTTCTTTCAGTTTTGTTCACTGTGCACACTTTGGATCTACAACACTTTTGGAAATTTTGTTTAGATACCCACTTGGGGCCTGAGCTCCTTCAGTGCTGTGTGGCTGGACATAAGCATTTTTGTGGCAGGGATTAAGGCCCCTTTTTATTGCCGTGATCATGAAGCCCTCAGCCTGCATCAGCAAGATGTTTCCTTGGACCACATGCACGCTGCACAAGCCACTGCTGAGTTCATGGTGTGCAGAGATGTGAACGCCTCTGTGTGACACCTGGCCTAAGTGGACGAGACTGGGGTATGCTGATTGTGGCATATTCCTTAATCGCTGCAGCTTCGTACTAGTGGGGCGAGCTGGGAAGAAAGCAATATGTAACTTGCCTCAGGCTTCCTATGCAACAGGTGGGCAAGGCATCACATCTCTAACCTCAGAGAGGTGTTGCTAGGATACATGGAGGAATGAGGAATTTGTTTAAAAAATCCCTGTGGTACCCTCTGCGTGGAGGGTTGCCGCAGGATTTATCTGCCCTGTAGAAGAAGCTGCACTGCCTCTGTGGCTGCCCTGGCGGGCTCCTTTCCCGATGTCCTCCGAGCTGCGTGGATCACAGAGGCATTTGTATCCCAGCACATCTTTGCTGACCAGCTGATGGGCTGGAGAGGAGGGAGGAACACCTCGAGCACAGCTGTGCTTCCCCTGGGAA